GGGGGGGGGGGGGGGGGGGGGGGGGGGGGGGGGGGGGGGGGGGGGGGGGTGGAGGGGGGGGGGGGGGGCTGAGCCTGTTGGTGAGATGCACTGTGTGCATGGGAGGCCAAACTTGTGGATGGGGTGCGCTGTGTGCATGGGGGTGTGTGCCATGTGTGTGGGAGGCTGAGACTGTGGATAGGGTGCGCTGTGTGTATGGGGGTGTGCTGTGTGCATGGGGGTGTGGGAAGCTGAGCCTGTGGATAGGGTGCACTGTGTGCTGTGTGGGGTGAGCCATGTGTGTGGGAGGCTGAGCCTGTAGATAAGGTGCGCTGTGCGTATGGGCGGTGAGCCTGTGGGTGGGATGCTTTGTGCCTATGGGGGTATGCGTTGTGTCTGTGGGAGGTGAGCCTGTGGGTAGGTGTGCACTGTGTGTGGGAGGTGAGCCTGTGCGGGGTGAACTCCGTGTATGTCTGGTATGAATATACTATGTAAGTCGGGATGTGGGGGTGGGCACTGCGGGTGGGAGAGAAGAAGGGCCCTCCTTGGTCTTCCCTTCTCTGACACGCTCTCCGTCCCTTGACGCTACGGCTGTGTGCTCTTGAGCCCGTGTGTAAGGGGTTTCCTTCCAGCCCCCTCCCCTGTCTGAAGCAGCAGGGACGGTTGCCTTTGCACTCGGCCCCAACGGTCGCTCGCGCGCTGACGGGTTGTTTACTTCCTCGGCAGCGTCAGCAACCCCAACCCCCCCGCCACCTCCTCCCTCCCCACTTTCTGTGGTTGGCTCCCCCAGCAGCCAATCACTGCTGCTTCCAAACTATAAACCTAGCGGAGGGGGAGGAAAATTCTCCTTTCAAAAAAAATAGTTGGAATACGCTACATTAGTCGGAGATGCTGATTGGACGGGGCAGTAGGCGGTTCAAGCGCTGACTGGCATATCCGGCTGCTAATTACTCTAAATCCTCACCTCTCGTTGTACTCACTCTTCCACATACACGCCAAATCCCGCCTCCGTCTCCCGTATCTCTGTGTGTGAAGCGCTGATTGGACAATACACAAGTTGTCCATCCATCTGCCAGTCACCTTAAGCTCCGCCTAACTTTTCACCCTCTCTTCTCGCTTACATCGCCGACAGACAGAAGCTGTTGCCGACTTTCATTGGTCCAAAGCGCTGCCGATCCATCAGAACCTCTCCTCTTTCGGATTGCGCACAGACCCTCCACCTTTCCCGATTCCTGATTGGGCCACCTAGGAGCTGTCTACGTCTCTTATTGGTCTATTCCTCTGTCACTCCAGGGAGAGGCCGTTCGGCTCCCCATTCTCACCCTCACTCTACACACTGGAACACAGATGACCCCGCCCCCGGCTGATTGAAGCCCCGCCCCGTCCCCTGTACTCGCCCTCCCCCCTCCCTTGCAGCGTCACGTGATGTTTTCGCCGTGGTACCGCTGAGGCAGCTTGTGTGAGTGAGAGTAGCAGAGCCCGGCGCGTTGCGACCGGCCGGGAGCGGCGAGCGAGAGGGCAAGCGTTGCAGTGACTGGCGAGCTCGCGTACGGAGCGGAGCGGAGCCCTCCGTCGCCTCATGTCCAGCCGGGCTTGGAGGACGCTTCCCTTGTGAGGGCGGATTCCCCCCTACCCCAGCTCGCTGGCCCCTAAGATGGCGAGTGGGATGAATGGCCCGGGCGGAGGAGGTGATAGTATCGCGGCCAGGGGCGCCGAGGCGGAGCTGGGCACCCGGAGCGTTGGAGGAGGGGTCGCACCCTGCCACGGGGCTGGAGTGCCTAGGACTGCTACTACGGCTGAGGAGCAGCAGGAGCTGGGCGAGAGCGGCCCCTACCCGCCCACTCAGCCTCACCACCTGCTGCTGCTGCTGAAAAGATCGCCCAGCGCCTCCTTGTGCCTGGTGCAGGAGGAGGAGGTGCCCGCTGCTGCGGCTCCCACAGGGCGAGGGGCCCTCTCTGGTGGGCGAGGTGGCCAGCCAGCTCCCACAGCACGAGGAGCTCCTCTTACAGCTGCTCCGTCCGTGGCTCCTGTGGGGGATGACGTGAGGAAATGTGGCTACCTGAGGAAGCAGAAGCATGGCCACAAGCGCTACTTCGTGCTGCGGGCTGAGAGCCACCTGGCCCCAGCGAGGCTTGAATACTATGACAGTGAGAAGAAGTTCAAGAGCAGCCTGAGGGCAGCGGCAGCTGCTAGTGGGTCTGCTGTCCTCTGCTGCCCCCCTCCCAAGCGAGTGATCCCCCTGTACCAGTGCTTCACAGTCAGCCGGAGGGCAGATGCCAAGCATAAGTACATCATTGCCCTTTATACCAAGGATGAATACTTTGCCATGTTGGCTGAGAATGAGGTGGAGCAGGAAGCCTGGTACCAGGCAATCAGTGAGCTCATGAACCAGAGCAAGAGGGGGTTCTTAGAACAGGAGGACCAGACAGATCAGCAGATGGATGAGGATGATGAACATTATGGAACTGCGCTTAGACCAGGCACCATATACAAAGAGGTGTGGCAGGTTAATGTGAAGCCCAAGGGACTGGGGCAGACAAAGAACCTGACTGGTGTGTACAGGTTGTGCCTATCTAGCAAGGCTATCTACCTAGTAAAGCTGAATTCAGAGGTACCTGCTGTCCACTTGCAACTAATGAACATCCGCCGTTGTGGGCACTCAGAGAACTTCTTCTTTATTGAGGTGGGCAGATCTGCTTCCATTGGGCCTGGTGAACTGTGGATGCAAGTGGATGATTCAGTAGTTGCCCAGAATATGCATGAGACCTTCCTAGAGACCATGAAAGCTCTCAAGGCCTTTACAGAATTCAGGCCCCGCAGCAAGAGCCAGTCATCTGGTGGTGGCAGTGGTACCAATCCTATCTCCTTTATCACCACTAGGAGGCATCTGGGCAACCTGCCTCCTAGCCAGACTGGCTTGCAGAGAAGATCCAGAACTGAGTGTGTTACTGGGGGGACTCCGCCCACCACCAAGAGTAGCAGTTCATACCGCTTCAGAACATCTAGTGAAGGGGAAGGCACAATGACCAGACCTTTCAGATCAGTGACTGGGAGTCTGATCCATTTGAACACTGCAAGGATGAACTTGGGCCGGCAAGAAGGGAGTGGAAGGTACGTCAGAGCAGCTTTCACCTCTTCTTATCATACCAGGTCTGCCTCCCTCCCAGTGTCTCATTTCCCCTCCACCACCAGCCCCATTAGTGTTTCTTCCAGTAGTGGCCATGGCTCTGCCTCAGATACACTAACCAGGCCTTCCAGTTCATCTGTCTGTGGGTCCCCAAGTGATGGGGGCTTTATTTCTTCTGATGAATACGGCTCTAGCCCTGGGGATTTCAGGTACTTTCGTGTCAGAAGTAATACTCCAGATTCCTTGGGAAACACACCACCTATCAGAGAAGAGAATTGTTTAAGTGAATACATGTCCATGAATAAACAGCAAACGGATGATAGCTCAAGGGATGACTATATGGAAGCTGAAAAATGCTTCAGAAAAAGAACTTATTCTCTGACTAAACCAACTTCTATAACAGTGCAGCAGAAAACAACACAAACCACGGCTTCTTTAGATGAAGATTCTGCAGGAAGGCACAGACAGTTACCTTGTTCGGAATCACCAAAATTAAAAGAGAGCCATGAACCTGACTACAGTGATGCTACCCTTGATTCTGTATGTAACCAAAGCAGAAGTAAAGCCAGGGATGATGGATACATGCCAATGATGCCAGGAGTTGCGTCTTCACTCGCAAGCAACAATGATTATTTGCCAATGACTCCTAAAAGTGTACCTGTCCCCAAACAAATTAGTAATTCTTGGTCGTCATCTCAGGTGGACTCCAGAGGATATATGATGATGTTTCCCAGGGCTAGTTCTTCACCTGTACGAAGTCCATTGGCTGGATGTATTTCTAAAGGGGGTAATGAAAAGGTGACAAATGAGTATATGGATATGTCACCTGGTAATTCAGCAGTTCCAAAACAGCCCAGTGATTCAAATTGTATTCATACCAACACTGTTTCCAAAGGTTTCAGTTCGTATTTCTCTCTGCCACGAAGCTTTAAGACATTATCGGGACAAAATGGAGATCATAATGAATATGTTCCAATGTCCTCACCTGGAAAACTGTTATATGATGAACATGAAAATGTCAAATGTGTCAATAGTGAACCATTAGCTAATGGCATTTCTAAATCATCTGCTGTGAAAGTGTCAGATGAAGGACTTGCACAGAACAGGGCTACCAGGCCTACAAGACTTCCCCTAGGTACAAGAGGAAGTAATACTATACCAAGAATGTACGATCGAACAGTTCCACCTGAGCCAACTAGCCCTGGTGAATACATAAATATTGATTTCAGTGAAAAAGCAAGTAATACACCATATTCTTTATCTGCAGAAGGATCTCCATCATCTCTAGGATCGAGTAGTGACCACAGACAGTCGCCACTTTCTGATTACATGAGTGTTGACCTTGATGTGCAGTCACCAAAAGTATCAAAGGAACTGTCAAATTCTTTAACAGATATTTCAATTTATGCAAGTTCCAGTATCCCCAGAAACCAGCCAAATGATTATGCTAGACTTTCATTTGATACTGCTTGTGTTAGCAGTACAAGTAGTAGGGCTGATGATTACACAGAGATGACTTTCAACATGGCAACGACACCACTTAGGCCTTTTACTGCAGAATCCAGCAATGGTATAAAGATTGATAGTCCTTCTTCCATTGTAAATCGACTGTGCATTGTTGACAGATATTCAGGTAGCAGTAGCTTCTCTGTTCCTAGCTCTGATTCTCCCATGGGACCTAAGGTGATTCGAGCTGACCCACAAGGCAGAAGAAGACACAGTTCTGAAACATTCTCTTCTACTGGGGCTGTAACTACTTCCTCTTCTTTCTTTACTGATAGTAGCAAAAGACACAGCTCTGCCTCATTTGACAATGTTTGGTTGAAACCTGAGGAAAACATTTCTGATGGTCATGAAAGCAAGATGTCCAGGGATACCTCAACTGGATTTCAGAATGGCTTAAACTACATAGCTTTGAATTTATGTGATGATTCTATGAACTGTGAGGCAAGCACTAATACACCAACTTGCCATCTTCAAAATGGTACTTCAAATTTGGACAGTGGAGCTTACGTAAGCATAGATTTCACCAGATCTGATGGTTTGAAGTGTAACTCTGCAAGTAAAGGTTTGTAACTTTAAAAATGTTTTCATATGAAACGTTTTGGTACAGGAATTCAATGTCACAGTTGATATAAACATAGTAATTGACTTATATTTTAAAATGGGGAAATATTACTGTAAATTTCTGTATGTCTTATTTTAAGTTGTTTCTGGTATCACAACAGCGTGGTAGGCATAGAAGAAACGCGAAAAGTCAGTATCTGGCCTGAAGAGCTTAGCATTATCTAGCCCACTCTTATATTTTAATATTTTGCTCAATGTATTGTCTAACTACTGTCAAGCTGGTCTGTATAAAATATTTTAACTTGATAAAACCTTGATCATGCTCTAAATCATGGCTTCTCAATCTACGGTCATGATCACCCTACTCTTGTTTATGACAGGTGGGATCCCAAATTTTCTTCTTTTGTAACATGGGATAATGGAAAAGATCAAAACCCACTAAATTGAGCTTAAAAATCCAATTTGGATTTCAAATACAGTGCTTTAATAAAATGAAAAGAAATGAACTTTATGTTCTTATATGGCTGGTATGTGGATTCCTGCTCTTTTCAAGTACAGTCAAACCTCTATGTTCTGAAACTCGGTTAACCAGACCTCTAGGTTGCCCAGAAGTTTGTCTCCCCTGAGATTTCTGTTCTTGATATCTCTCTATCCTGCTGAGAA